AAAATTTATTTTTAAAAATGACATTTCTAGCCAATACTCTAGGGATTATAATCTTAATAAATAAAATCTGGCTTTAAATATGCTAATTGAATGGTTACATTTTATGTAAAACTCTATGTAGTAAGCCATCTTTGCAAAATTGATAGTCATATTGTTTCTATTTGGCTTTCCTCTATTTTCTCCATGTACTCTCCACCTGAACCTCGATATAGTCAATTGAAGTAATCTGCCATGTAGCTCCCTGAGTGAGATTTAGGGAAATCGTTGCCTGCAGAATTTCAAATATGGATATGAGGCATTTGGAAGCAATTTCTGATAAGAGAGTACTATAAATTGCTACCCCAAGGTACATCTTGCACATTACCCAACCAAATGTTTTTCTTTAACCAAGATTCAGAGGGAGGAGGGATGTATTAGCCATGAAACTTAATGGACTAAGGTGCCATTACTTACTAAATAGAACCATTTATATGAAAAATGAACATTTAATGTATACATGTAGATAATGTAATCCATTTTATCTTATCTGCATACACAGAAGATTCCGATTATAATGGATCCGGTGGTCCCTTTTTGCTCATTTGATTTGCCTGAGTACTGTGTCTGGATTAATAAAAAAAAAAGTCTATTTCCCCAAATTAACATACAGAAAGGCAAACTGGCCCTCTCCCAAGGACACAGATATCCCTCTAGGACTTTCCGAGGGACCGAAGGTCAGTTGGCCCACACTGGGACCATGGAAAGTTTGTAACATCTTTCATGTCCAGCAGGGGAGCAGCCTGGAATGTCTGCTTCTTTCTAACCTTTGAAAATCATAAAATAAATCCAAAGCATCATAGACCATCTGGTACTTACAACGCAATATCTACAGATAAGTCTGAGCAAAGGGCAGATGTATTACCCCCAGTGGGAGAGAGTGTCGGTGAAATTTCATCTCTTTACTTGTCTGATCACTGCCACAGACATCATAAAAAGCCTCCTCCTTCTATACAGTCCCCTCGCTTCTCTGTTGAATTAGTTGCTAGCCTTAACGTCTAGATTTATGATTTTTTTAAGTGCCCAAACATAAGCAAGAGGGATGGGAACCCCAAACAAGAAAATGTCATATACACATTTCTAAGTCTTATTATTGACATTTATTGTGGCAGTGTAAAAACCTAAACATGGACTGAAAGACCAACAAGAATATAATGATTAAATACTATAATAAATAGTATCTGTATCAGCCACATTAAAAAGGACTGTAGACCATACATACCCCATGTTAAAGCAGGGCCATGATTTACGGCGCTGGGGCAGGGGGGTGGGTGCGGGAGGAACACGACAAAACAAAAGAACACTGAGAAAGCTGATTGTAGAATTATACTTAAGGGTAGCCCCTTTTTTACAAAGCGAGCAAGCACCATGTATGTGTGTGTGCCCCTGGATGTTTATCTGTGTGTATGTCTGTGTGCATATGTGTGTCCATGTCTGTACGTGTGTGTGTGTACATGTGGTGCCTTTTTACATTATACCAGTTGTATTTTTGTTTAAGTGGAGCCTGTATATTGTCACTAGAAAAATAACAAGGATTTAACCATAAAGTCGTAGAGATAAGTGTCATTTTGGCAAATACCCAGTGGAGCCCCATTTTCTTTGAATGTATGCCATAGTAAACAGGCAGTGAAAATTGAATGTAACCCAAGTTCCCTAAATCTTAAAGAAGGTCAGTTAGGCAATTTTTTGTTTAACTTAAATAAAACAAAACAGTACCCCCTAGGTTCCTTTCAAACATCTGGATGTTTCAGCACAGAGAATCTTGGATGATTTAAGAGGTTAACTTTCATGTTGTAGACAATTTAAAACTAGGTTATAATCATTGAGATACTACTTTTGAGTTATTCCAAGCCACGTTTTCATCAGTTTTCATTTATGGATGGTAATTCAAGAAAATTTTCCAAATTTCTCATAAAGTCGGTTTTCCTGGAACTAATTTTAGGTTGAAAGCTGGAGAATGCTCCTGTTGGGTGGTTGGAGCATGGAGAAAAGAGATAGAAAGACATTGACTGGTTATAACCATAACATTATATAACCATAACATTCATTTTTTTACTTTTTTCTAGTAATGTAATCCTGCAAAGTTAAATATGACTTTTTCTGTTGCCTTCTGTTGCCCTTCTATTGTTTTACAAAGCTTAGGACAGGAGGAGTCAAATTCTCTGCCACTCTAAGTGAAGGCTCCACCAGCTGTGCAGGGTTTGCCCAAGATTGTGACCCTGGGTGTCCTGCCAGCAGTAGCGTATTGCCCACCCGGTAGCTACATAAAATAGATTGACGGGCCAGTTTGGGGGCTAACTGTGGACAAGCAGGAGCTGTGCTGTGTATGCCATAACCACACCTCACAAGGGGGAACTACATAGCTGTTTCTTTCTTAATTTAAGCCAAGAGAAATGGGAGATGTTTAAAAGAACCATTTTGAGAGCTAGACTGTGTCCCCCTTGAGTTTGGGGAACATAGGAGTCAGCACCCAATGCTCAATGGAGGAAAGAGAGGAGGGATGCACTGCAAGCTGACTGTACCTTAATCGTGCATAGAATGAGGATGTGTGGTGCTCCTGGACCGGATGTTGGTATGGCTGATGGGAGCTGTCCAAAGGCTTTCTCAAAAGAGAGCCACCCAAGAGGACCCATAGACCTTGGGATACCCATGGAGAGTTGAACACCTGGAGGTCTAGTAGCTGACAGAGAAGGTATTGGTTGTTCTTTTCAAGGGAACATGGTTGGAGACTCCCAGCAGGACCTTTCTTAGGAACCCAAGAATGTTCTGCCATGAGTGAAGGAGCCAAAAATCAGTCCTCCACTCTGCTTAGAAGGTCCGAAGTCAGATAATAATTGTTTCACTCAGGTTAAAGCTTTCTGTTCCTTGCTGTTTCTTTCTCTCCCATTCGATGAACCCTACAGCCATTGTATGTAGTAGCTGGTTAGGTGGAAGGGATGGCAGAAAGGAAGACAGAAGAAGCCAATCTGTAGGTCAGCGGAGAGAGAGACAAGCATTACAGGAGCTGAAAGACTGGTGGTTTTGTGTAATCTGAATGGATCTTTTTTAATTACCAAAATGGCTGTTCTTCCAAATGAAAGACCATGAAAAAGCCATGTGCCTTGCTAAAGACTGCACCCTGGGTAGAAAAAAGGAGCTGTGCAGAGAAGTAGTTTGAAAGAGCAGAGGGAGAAAGAATAAAAGTATTTTCTGTTCACATTCTGCCAAGTCCAACTTTTTCAGTCCATAGGTTATACATTACTGCTTTAAATAAGTTCCTGAATGCTGATTTAAAATTCTTTATTCTACTTCATACATTTATAAAAACCACTCTGAGGAAAATCTTCAGTTCTTTCAAGTATTGTGGAATCTTTCAGAAAGATGTCTTCCACAGTCCTTTGAGGAACAATAGCTCCGTGTCATTGAGAGAGCCTCTTCTACAAGGGAAAGTCATGTTAGGGAAGGGGCTTCGTCAGCAGAGATTCAGAGCGCTATTAAACCCATAATTCCTGCCACTGTGAAGAGGAATTATGTGTGAACATCAAAAGGAAAATGAGCTCTGCCTCGCATGCTATCATTTGCTATTAAGAGATTCTGGACCTTAATCAGAACTGTGACACAGAGGCCATCAAACCATTTAGAAAGAGGAGTCTCGGTTCGGGCCATTCAAAAAAGAGTTGGAAATGATACTTGCTTTGTTTGAAAGAAGCCAACAAAAGAGCCCCCCAGCTAGCAAACATTTCATCTTGCATGCTAGTAGAGGTATTTCTGGCTATGCACATTTCCCTAAAGGTGAGTCGTACACATGCATATGCCAGAGTTTGTACACTCCCAGCCCAGGGGCCCCTGTGTATTGCCAGGCTGGTGGTTATTTTCCTAAATCCATATTTTTGTCTTGTTGTTTCCTAAGGGCTTTGTCGAGAAGTAAATGATATTTAAAAGGTGTAATTTTACAGAATTTTGTGTACATTTACACCAGTAAAAACATCATTGTAGTCAAGATAGTGGACCTATCCGTCATCCCTAAGTGTATCATTGTGTCCCACTGTATTCACTCCCTCCTGCTCCTCTCTGCCCTACTGCCACCCCAATACAACCCCAATCTGCCTTCTGCTACACTATAGATTGAATGTTTACACTCCCCAAAAATGCATATGTCCAAAACTAACCCCTAGTGTAATGGTATTAGGAGGTGGGGACTTTGGGAAGTGATTAGGTCATGAGGGTGAAGCCCACATGAATGGAATTAGTTTGTGCCCTTATAAAAGAGATCCCAGAGAGACCCCTTACCCCTTCCATTGTGTGAGGACATAGCGGGAAAAAGAAAAAAAAAAACTGCCTATGAACTAGAAAGCAGACTCTTCACCAGACACCAGATCTTCATCTTGACCTTCCCAGCCTCCAGAATTGTGAGAAATAAATTTCTATTGTTTATAAACTCCCCAGTGTATGCCATTTCTGATATAATAGCCCAGATGGAGAAAAACAGATTAGTTTGCATTTTTCTGGATTTTTATAAAAATTCATACAGAATATATCCTTTTGGTAGGTGCATGAATAGGTTTTTAAGAATCTGTCTATGAAGTGGTTGTAATCTCTTAACTCCCAACCATCATCAGTTTATTAGCATTCTGATTCTTTCACATACTTACCCATCACTTGGTATTCCCAGTCCTACAAATTTAAGCCATTTTAATGAATTATACTGGTATGACACTGGAGTGTCCATTTGCATTTCCATAATGATTAATAATGTGGAGCTTCTTTTGATGTGCTAATTTGCTATCTGTATACCTTCCATCCAAATGGAATGGATGTCTATTTTGTCTTAGGTTACTTGTTTTCTTACTATTGAGTTTTGAGGGTTCTTTACATATTCTGGACACAAGTACTTTGTCAGATACGTGCTTTGCAAATGTTTTCTTTCAGTATTTTTGTCCTTTTACCATTGTCTTTTGATGAGCAGAAGTTTTTTTTTTTTGTTTTTTTTTTCAAAACTGGCTTTAAATACTCATCAGGGCGCCAGGAAAAGGGGCTGGGGTAAGAACTTGTTACATGTGAACTTGGGGTTGGGGTGCCCTGAGAAGGGGACCCATCCATCACGGCAGCTGGGGTGCCCCACCCCCCACCCTGGGACAAGGGAGGAGAGTAGAGGCCCTCTCTGGAGGGTCCCGGGGCCAACTGGGAGCCAGCCCTCCCTTCGAGGTAGATCATCAGGGAAGGAACGGAGGAGGGGCTCCCACGGTGGTGATGATAGGCAGTCACTTCCTCAGTGGTACTGCTGATAGCTGGGATAGCCTGGGGCTGGGGTACCCTCCTTAGGGGGCAGCTGGCTGGGGTCCTCCAGGAACGGGGGTGCATTGCGGAACTGCTGGGCAGTGTAGCGAGTAAGGAGGATGCCAACACCCTCTATGAGGGCCAAGAGAATACCCCCCATCATTGCTGAGCCCACCATGGCCAATGGGCCACTGCGGGCCGCCAGCACGGCCCCGGTCAATGCTCCGCTAGTGATGGAGTTCCAGGGATCTTCTTTGCCCCGCAGGCGCACCAGGCCACAGTCGATGGTGGAGAACAGCCCCCCCCGCCCCACACCGCGAAGCTACCTCTAATCTGGGGGGCTCGGATCCTCACAGCGTTGGCACTACCTCTCAGTCGGTGCCGAATTCCCACAGGGGCGTTGAGGAAGCCCTTGATGGCCTGGAAGACTCCACCACCGATGACACCCATAGTGAAGGCTCCTCCGCAATCGTCCAAAATTCGCCATGGGCAAGGCTCCCGAGCGTACTCCTCCAGGGCTCCGGCGTCCGGCCGCGCAGTCTGGCTCGATGAGCAGAAGTTTTTAATTTTGATGAAGTCAAAGTTATCACTTTTTTCTTTTACGGATTTTCTTCTGTGCTTCTCATTTCTCAGGGATTATGGTCCTTCATGACTTGCATTCAGTGATTTGAAAAACATGATTTTAAGTATTATGTCTGTTTGGGGGACTTTTTTAAGGGGGACAGTAAATACAGTCCCTATTATTCCATTTTGGCAAGAACTAGAATCCTGGTGTGTTAGTTTAAATTTATTTTATGGCCAATATATAATAATCTGGAGACCAATAATCATCTACATATTTGGATTCCCTTGAAAATCTTCTGGCCGCACCATGGTTACATTCCTGCAAAAAAAACAGCAGGTGGGAGTCCTGTGGACTTTAGTTTGGATATTTAGCTACTTACCCAATTCAAATAATATTAATGGCTGTGAAGTTACTGACCTTCCATATGTACTCCAATATAACCATTTCTCTAGGTCATAAATTGGATGGGCAAAGAGGTTTAGTCACTCAATGAATAGCCATCCCTTCCTGTTAAATATAGAGAATGCACCTCTGATTGAAATGGTGTGGTGCTATTATTTTTATTTGCAAAGAAAGGGAGAAATGGACATTTTTCGTGCCTCTCTACCAGGCATTTTAACATATAACATTCAGTTAAATCAATGAATTCAAGTCCTAAAGCAATGCTATGATTAATTCATTCAAATACATATTTATTAGCACTCAGTGCAGATGAGGAACTGACAACTCAGACTGAGGCAGAGTGTTCAGGTATCATTCATATCTCAGAGTGCAGCCTGCTGGCCAGCCTTCTTATAGGCTCCATTCCTCCAGGTTTGGGGGCTGCTAATTTACAAAAAATATAATTACCCTTATCAGTGAGAATTACCTGAGGGTGACCCAGGTGAGGCATATCACATTTCACTCTAGCTTGGTAGAGTTGCAAGTATTATCCAGTTGCTTCAGAGACAGGTTCCTCTGGATATGTGGATAGAAATGCCTTCTCCAACTTACTTCCTGTGAGGTGGGTTTGTTACTTCTCCGAGACTCATTGTACAGTCTAGTTGCTGTGCAAGGACTGAAGAGAGGCCAGGTGACCCACAAAGATCGAGCCCACTAGACTGACAGCCCGGCCCAGGAGGAAGAACAAGGGTCTGTGTTCTGTGAAACAAAGCTGAGATGTCCTCAAATTCCCACTTGTGGGCTCCTTGTCTGTCATAACCAACAGTCTCTTCCCCATCCTAGTTTTAGTGGCAAATTAGATAAGGAACGTAAAAATACTGTCTAAAATTTGAAACAGTATCAAGTGCATGCAAAAACAATGTGTCATGCCATGAAATGGTATTGTCCGTAATAAGGATGCATAACCCTTATTGAATGTTTCTGATAGGCAAAGCATTGCCCTAAGCACTTCCCAATTAGTGGTTCATTGAGCCCTCACAGTAACTGTATGATACCAGCTACTATGATTTTCTCACTTTACAGGTGGAAAAACTACACACAAACTGTCTAAGTAACTTGTCCAAAGTCATAGCTGGACTGGGGCAGAAATGGAGTTGTGGACAGGCAGGATTCTCTGTGTCTATATTCTTAATTCCAACACTCTACTCCCCTCAATTTGAGAGCAGGATTGTCCAAAATGAGTATTAGAAAACAATTGGTTTAATGGAGAAAAAAACCAAGTTAGGAGTTAAAGGCTTTGGAATGCCATCTTACCAAAGTTTTGTGGGTTTTTTTTCCCTTACGTGGATTTTAATAATAAAGAGGTTTTCTTTCTAGAAAAAAAAATGCAGAACAAAAGTAATCATATCAGATTTTAATTCTCTGCTTAAATTTTTCTCCCAATATACCATGATCACCTTTAGGAAAAAAATGTGGTTTTTTTTTTCTCTACTCAAAAACCAAAAGAATGAAAAAAAGCATAATTTATAATAGGTCCTCAGCAGGTACTTGATGAATAGATTTAAAAATATGTTTTTAAGTTGGTTTGCTTAGAAAGAAACATTTGATATGATATCTCCGCTGAAGACAGATATAAGATTATAATTAACATCCATGTATTACCTGGAGGGTTTCTTCAGCCTTTGCTATTTAAATGAGATTACAACTAAAGAACTGAAGCTTATATGTGTAGGGGCGCCTGGGCGACTCAGTCAGTTAAGCATCTGCCTTTGGCTCGGGTCATGATCCCAGGGTCCTGGGTTCTAACTCCACATCGGGCTCCCTGCTTGCAGGGAAGCCTGCTTCACCCTCTCCCACTCCCCCTGCTTGTGTTCCTGCTCTTGCTGTGTCTCTCTCTGTCAAATAAATAAATAAAATCTTAAAAAAAAGACTAATGATGTGAAACAAACACATGAAACACTATAACTGAATATTAGGAGAAAAACATGGAATAGAAATATATATCATGGGAGAAATTTCCCGCCTAGCTCCAGACACATGCTCCTTCTATAGCTGAGCCTCAGAGGTCACGCTCAGGACTGGTAAGTGGCCCGAATATACCCAACCTTATTTTGTTCTCATCTAGATAAAATGTGTCCGTTTTCATTCTGAAAGCATGCTGTTCTGTTTTGACTTTTGCAGCATGGAACTGCACCACTCATTAACCAAGCAGGTGCCTTAGACGCCAAACTTTGGGATCAATATTTCTAGGGATCCTTGTTAGGAAATGAAATCCTAGTTTCTGGGCTCCTTTATATGCAGACATGATGCTACGTAGCATGAAATCTGGCCGAAGCTGCAGTGTTAACATCTGGCAGCTGTTTAAGAACCATGTGGTTAAAGCAGAGATAAAAATGAGAAAATCTGAGCAAAGGACGCAAACGTGAAAAAAAATACATTAAGTCACAGTAAACTACAATTAGGCTTTGCGGGCTTTTTAGAGCTGAATGTGTTCTTTTTACAGGCGCAGAATTATATAGATCAAGGCGTTAATTGAATGTAAAAAAAAGAGGTCTTTGCATTCAGTGTTAGCCTTCTGTGTTGGCCAACAGTCTCTTCCTCACCCTGCCATTCCATCTGCAGGACAAGGGCAACTCACTCTGGGCCTCCTAAATGGTTAAGGATTGATGTTACCCTAAAGCAATGGGAAGCCATGGCAGGGGAGGGGGGTGGTGGTGCCTGAATGTGACTCCATCAGTCTGGTGTCTTTAAGACATCCCTCTGACTGCATGAGTAGAGAGATTAATCTTATAGAAAGGGCAGTTACCAGCACTAAGGAAGATAATTCATGTAAAGACCTCCCATATTTTTTTATTTGTAACCTTGACCCAGAACGTATCACAATTTTAAATATGGAAGCATTTATGTCTTTACTTCTTTCATGATCCACTCCTTCACAAGACTGCGGTTCCATGAGAACAAGAAACACGTCTAACTGAGCTGACGCTGAAATCTAAGTGCCTAGCTCAGAGAAGGAAAATGAGTAAATTGCACCTAAATGGATGGATGGATGGATGGATGGATAAATGGCTATCTGTGAAGTCCTGGAAACTACTCATGCTGGGAAGCTCACTGCTTCTCAGATTGTGGTTTTATGTGCATGTGAATATTTGGTTCACGTCTGACTCCTGCACTTGACTGGATCTCTATAAAGGCAGCCTTTGTACTCACTCACTCCTTGTCTGTTGTCACCATCTAGCAGTCTCTGGTGCACAGTCCTTAAACATAAGCAATTGTAGGGGCACCTGGGTGGCTCAGTCGTTGGGCATCTGCCTTCGGCTCAGGTCATGATCCCAGGGTCCTGGGATCGAGCCCCGCATCGGGCTCCCTGCTTGCAGGGAAGCCTGCTTC